TTTTCTTTAGCAATAATTTTATGCATTCAATTCCCTTCATAATAGGGATGGGGGTGGGGACAAATATGTAACTTGCTCCCATCATCGTGTTTCTCAAAAAAGTTTGGATCAAATTTGAGAGTGTTGCTGGAACATCAAGATATTTAAGTAGTTTTATCAATGAGCACATCAGGTTTTCCAAACCTAATGTTTAACTCAGCAAGTCTAGTTCAACAAATGAGTATTAACTGCACACAACTCTTGTTGACACTGAAAGAAAGAAAATTCCACTAATGGGACAAATTAAGATTCTTTGCTGTTTTTGTACATGCCTGGGATTATTGGTAGCCAAAAAGCCCAAGCACTTATTCAGGATTCCCATTTTTCAAACAAAAATATAGAGAAGTCCAACTATTTCAGACTTTAATCTTTGATGACACCATCATCACCAAGCTTCCCACCAACATTTGGTGGTTACCACTGACTAGAAACTTAACTGGACCAATCATGTCAACAGAGATAGTAGGAACTGCAGATGCTGGAGAATCCGAGATAACAAGGTGCAGAGCTGGCTGAACACAGCAGGCCAAGCAGCATCATAGGAGCAGACCCTATGATGTTGCTTGGCCTGCTGTGTTCAGCCAGCTCTGCACCTTGTTATCTCCAATCATGTCAACACATGGGCACAGAGTCTATATGTTCTACAGGAAGTAATTCAAACTTTGACAAATGAAAACCTCTCTACGTCTGAAGTCAGCAATGTGAAGGAATACCCATCACTTGATAGAGGGTGTAGCTGAAACACTTTGGTTGAATACCATCCAAAAAAAGGCTTTTGCCTTAACAGCTCCCCTTCAATCCACCTCATTCAATACTGGTAAACCCTTAAGTGCAGCAAGTTTTTTCAACATTATCTGCTCTGCAAACAGTGACAGAGTAGAACAGTAACAACAGGGACCATTGTAACAAAAATTTCACCAATTGTCACTGGGACCACATGGAAACACTGAAGAACTCTGCCATATTACCAATGGGCAAATCAGTTTCTCAATATCTGATGATGGGGTGATGGTTTATGACTGTAAATCGTGCAAAGGACAAATAGATTAAATATTAAGCTTCTTTTTCCATAAAATAGTAGATGCAGGAGTCAGGTTTTCAGCAAATGCTGATTTACACTACATCTTCGTGAGACAGCTCAACTGGTTTCTGACTTAGAGAAGATTGGCTCATAGAAGACATAGTTCCAATTAATACAAAGTCATAGTCAATGTCATATCCTTTAAATAGTTCAGTCACCTAGGAGAGTTTTCTAGATTGTTTTCCCTAACTGCTTGTAGGTTTTTCCAAAATGGTTTTTCACCTGTTCCAGAAGCCAGCCTACGGAGTAGTAAATCTTTTGACTTTACCGCATGGGAAAAGCTGTAGGCTAGATACATCAGCTGGTCTTTTCCTCTCTTGCCATCTTCCCACAATCATACAACTGAAATCAAGAAAAAAGTTACATTCCCAGCCACCTTCATCACTTGATAATTACGTATAACTGATGCTGGGTTAAACTATTCAATAAGAATGAAGGTTATAACGGAAGACAGCGTTCCACTCATAGTTGATATATGTAGACAACATTGCAGCATACGTTTGAAAGCATTACACTCATCTTCATATTACTTAAGTTAACACAACATTTGTCTTCACTGCAAAGAACTGTATCAAAAGATCTAGAGCTGGATGAACACAGCAGGCCAAGCAGCATCAGAGGAGCAGGAAAGCTGACTGATTTCTGAAGAAGGGTCTCGACCCAAAATGTCAGCCTTCCTGCTCCTCTGATGCTGCTTGGCCTGCTGTGTTCATCCAGCTCTACACCTTGTTATCTCAGATTCTCCAGCATCAGCAGTTCCTACTATCTCTGTATCAAAAGATCTCTCATTTACATACAAAACCAGAAATTTTAAAAAACTGTACTCGTATTTGTGTAGCGTCTGTCTTTACTCCTCTATGGCTTAAAGTGTCTTATAGCTACTGAAGTACTTTTGAAGCCTGTATTTACTAGAATTAGTATAATGAAAGGGAATTTGATTGAAGCGCATAAAATTTTAAGGGGGCCAGATGGACTGTACGTAAGGAGGATGTTTTTCCTGGTTGGACAGTCTAGACCAAGTGAACACAGACTCAGGATACAGGGTAAACCATTTAGGACTAAAATGAGGAAAGATTTCTTCACTCAAAGGAGGAGTGAACATATGAAATCTTCCACAGAAGGCTGTGGAGGTTAGGACACTTAATATATTCAAGAAAGAGATAAGTTTTTAGATATTTAAGGTACTAAGATGTATGGGGAGAATGTAGGAATATGATGTTGAAATAGAAAATCAGCTATCATTGCACTGATTAGTAGACCAAGCTCAAAGGCCGAATGGCCCAGTCCCATTCCTACTTTCTACGAAGTGTTACAGAGTAGGAATTGCAGTAGTAAGAATCCTCAAATGGTTACAGCACAGGAGACAGCCATTTGGTCTGTCATTCTGTGCTGCCCTGCAAAAGGAAAAATTCCCCTAGTGACAGCTTCAATTTCCAGATAATGATCCAATCTTCACGAATTAAATCCTCACAATTTGCAAAATGGCCAGATAATTGTGCAAGAAGTTTATGTAGGATAAATATTGGACAGAACACCAGCAATATCACCTTTGAAAAATGAGATTACTTTTCCAGAATAGTGGCCATGTAATCTTTTACACCCACCTGTGAGGATCTCCAATTTAAAGCTTTATCCGAAAAGCACGTCATTGATAATGTAGCACTGCCTCAGAACAATCACTTGGTTTCATTGCTCGAGTCCTGGAGTGAGCTTAAACCCCAGGATCAAATGAATCACAGGTGCAAACACTGCCATAAGCATTTCCTTATAAAAGGAAGCCAAAAATTCATTTGCAACATCACATTTACAACCATTTCAAAAGTTGGCACTTCCAATTCAGTATCTCATCAAATTCCACAAGAACTCATTTCTTCAATAAAACTAGAATGTCATAGGTCTTCAGAAGCCTAGAAAAAAAAAGTACTCCATATCCATGCTGAGTATTGAAAGAACTATATTTCTTAGATCTAAGAATTAGAAAAATATATGTCAGTCATTTGGCTCTGAAGCCAATTTGGCAATCATACAGCAGCCGTTTTCAGTTATGACATTTCCATAATTTGACAGAATTGGAAACAACTTGGGTTTACATTACACTACAACGTGGAAAAGCATTTCAAAACACGAAGGCTTAATCAAAAAATATTGGATGCTGAAACAAAATAGGAGACATTAGATGGACTTGGCCAAAGAACTGAGTTTTAGACAGGGTCTGAAAAGTAGATGACTGTTAAACCAGAGGATGAAAATTTAAGGTGCAGGAAACTGTCACCATAAATCAGTGAAAAGGTGATGAGTACATGGGAGGGATGGAATATAATATAGACTTTGAATACAACTTTTGATTAATTCCAGTTAATGAAGGGAGATGGGTGGGGAGAAAAACAAGAAGCTGGCGAGAACAACACTGCATTTCAATCATATGCCAAGGGTGGAATGAAGATTAAAACTGATTCAATGTTTGTCAAACCCCAGGTGCAAATGATGCATCTTTCATCCAGCAGACCTTTACTTGTGAACAGCATGTTTGGTTCAAATTCCATCTAAATCATAAGTCCAAATTTTTAACTGTACTCTGCGCTTATAGAATTTACTTGCTGTGTAAGACCACAAGATATAGAAGCAGAATTAAGCCATTTAGTCAGTCAAATCTGCTTTGCCATTTGATCATGGCTATGGCATCCTGAGCCTTCTATGGCAACGAGTTGCACAGATTCACCACTCTGGTTGAAGAAATTCCTCCCTACCTCAGTTCGAAAGGATCATTACTTTATTTATGCAAAGTGAAGTTAACATCTGGACACATGAATCACCCCCATTGTCAATGCACTACTCAGCTCATCTGGTTCTGCTCCAATCATTCTGAATGATTGGACAGTTAGTATTGCAATATTCCTTGCTAACTGTAGGATTGCATTTCATCAGTCATCGCTGCCCTTACAGGGGTGAACCATCAACACTATAAAGTGTTGTCATGCTGTAAATTATGCAACGATGAATGATATTACAGCAACATATTAGAATTTATTCTGCATAGGGAAAAACACTAATGCCCATCCAAACAAATGATTTTTTTTTGGCAGCAAGTAATCACTCTCAGGAAGCAGACATCACCAGTTTTGAAAGCAGGTCTTTGAAAAAAACTTATGAAGAACTAGCTTATGTTTTGCACAACTGTAAAGCAAATTACACACACACACACACACACACTAGTGTAATTCTATTCAGTTTTAGACAATAAAAGTGGCAAGCAGAACTTAAAACATGGATAAATATAGTAGCTTCAAAGCACAATTTGCAATCAAAGGATGCATGATTCCTTTTATTATTTTTTATAATATGCCTTTCACGATATTAAGTTGTTCCAAAGCTCTCTAACACCAATTAAGTACTTTTGAATACAGTCACTATTGTAATATAGGCCAAGTATCTCTCGTTACTGAGAAGTAGCTGCAAACTACCAACAAATATCATCACAACTGAAGTTAACATAGCATTACACTGTTCCCTTGTATTCTCCATTTCGTAATGGGATACATATAAATAGTTTGAAATTAGATTAATTCATGACTCTTGCATCTTTGAAAGCAACTGGAAAAATTGATTTGCGGTAACCATATCACAACTGATGTGACAGAGGCACTGTGGAAAGAAATTATGGAAACTGTAAATCATATGTTCAACAACTGAATAATGAATTGTATCGAATCAAACCCTTTACACTAAAATATCTCAATATTTTGCTTGATGCAGATTCTAAAGGAGTATCCTTATACATTTCCTTCCAATATGGAATAGGTATATAATCAGCTGTGCAAAAGAAGAAAGCGACAGATGGTATTGGTTTTATTTTTGTTGAAAGTTAAACCCTTCACACTGATTCTGAACAAAATACATTTTTATTCCGCAAGATAGATGAATATGAAGTTATGGCAACTTGACAAAAAGGAAAAAAATCACAAAATTTCTGAACACAGTAGCTGTTACTGTGTGGAGAGTGAAACACAGAATTAATGCTTATAATGCAGAAAATCCCATACATGCTGTGACCAGTTATTGGTGTCACAAAAGACTCAGCTGCAGACTAGGAACAGAGATCTGTACAACTGATACAACCTGGTGCAGTATACAGTTATCTGTAAAGTATAATATACCAGGACTGGGAGCAGATGCTACTCTATTGACTGCAATGCACGATGTGACCTTTTCTTGTAAGCTACATAAGTTCATATTAAACTACACGATTTACAGACTGAACAAAGCTGAAATACACAGATACAACAGTCAACATATTTAAGTTACATGCTGGGTTTTTGTCTTTGAAAAGTGCATGAATTTTTTTTTTGAAAGAGAAGAGCAAAAGACAGAACAAGCAAGACAGACAGAGCAAGCAGGTTGTGGGGAGGGAGGGGGTGAGGGTTTTTGTGAGATAAAGAGTTAGCCCCCACAGAGCAAGAGCGAGCGAGAACATGAGGGCTGACCGAGAGACAATGTGAGAGCTACAGAGCAAAACAAAGAAAGAAAAAGGAAAATGCACAGAAATGATTTTTGACCCCACCGTCTGGAACAAATCATGTAAAGCCTTCTGTCCTGCAGAGAACCAAAACAATCCAATTTATAATAAAAAAAATTAAAACAATCAAAGAATATAATCATTCAAATAAAGCAAGTATTATCAGGATAGAACTTCTCTTTGTAAAAAAAAATGCATTCGTGAAAAGAACTTGAAAGCACACTTTACACCTAGGTGCAAACAGAATACTGACTAAAAGGTATTAAAAAAGTCTGGGACAGTAAGTTTACAATTGCAGACTGTGGTATTGGAACGTTTGTATTGCTCAATAATAAAGAATTTCTACTAAGGCTGGGGATTATTTGTCATCAGCTTATTATGGATAATGTGTTTTCTTTGTAAGTGTTGGAAAAACAAATGTTCTACAAAAGCTTAGTTAGATGATAATACAGCAAAATAAGTAAATTTAAAAACAAATCTGGAATCAGGGTTCAGAGTCTCACAGCTGAAAGTGCAATTTTGGAATGGGACATGAATGTTGAATTTAAGAGTACTTTTACATTCAATGCTGAATTAGCAACCTAGAAAGGCTGGAGCAAGTTGAATTCAGAGGCACTTCCAATTTAGAAATACTTCAAATTTAAAATCAGTTTGGGAAGCCTGATATACTCATCATGAAAGTGAGAAAACAGCTGCTGACCAGGTAGAATTATTCATTTTTAATTAAATTTTCAAGATTGTTTAGTACTTTAGATATTACAGCATCGCTTTTCTCGATTGGCTATGGATTATGTAATGACTCAAACTAATCACTTCCTTGTTGTTTAGGACCCCTTAGTTTATCAGGCCTTGCAATATGCTTTGCATTATATACATGACCAACTGATTGAATGCGACAAACAAGCAATAGTCATACACGGTAAAATTTTAAAAACTCAGCACTCCACCTGTTATATAGGTTTGCTTGTAACTTTTTTTTTACAATTATACTTTTTGTGCTCATTAAGAGGACAGATACCAATAGAGAATGAAGACCACTTCCCATGCTGTTCCTGTCAGCAACAAGCAGTCCTAAGTCAGGTGTGAAATGCAGGTGAGGAATAGAGCTTCTTTGTTCTGCCATCATATTTGTTTGTCATCAATTTCCTACATAGCAGTTTGAAATTTTACTTTTTCTCATTTACCAGTTACCACAGCTATTTTCAAGGCCCAAGTTACAAATCAATTTAGTGTCAGTTAGCAGTCAATTTTATATTGCAGTCCTCTGATTTTTAGGTACTAATCATTAAGCATCATTTTACTGAGGGCCTTTACAGACAGAAGAATGCTTATTCAACAACGGCACCATTTTCAAACCAAGATCCCAGAAGTAAGAGTGTGAAATATTGGTTTCTTCCCATTTGGTTTTTAATTAAAGATGTATTGTATATTCAGCGTATGGTGTTAGTTCTGGAAAATTCCCTTTAAAAAGAAAACAATTTTTAAAACAAAGTTGAGAAGCCCAATCTGTGGATGAATGGACATGGTTTTTTTCAGACCATACTGCTACAAAAACACCACAAATTGAATAATTCTCAACAGTTCTGGAAAAATCTAAACTCAAGGCAATTTCAATTGCACACAGGTAAATTACAATGTGTCAAGGAACTGAATGCACTTCATAAATATGTTTGTTGCAGTGACGAATCTCCTTGGACGTTTCAAGTAAAATAATAATTCAAAAGGAAGGGTTTGATTACAGCTCTACTTCCACTCCCAACCTCACTCAGGTTAATACAGGAGAAATTTCATCAAGCTAGAACTTTAATCCCAGCCAGGACTGAATCACTGGGATATTCCAGTTCTTAAAAAAATACTGTAATCAATTACAAACATCATTTATAAATAGATTCAAGATGTCTTGCAAAAGATTCTCCTGCACTAAGATGTCAGGTGCAAGACTTCTCTTTGCTCAAAAGCAATCACAACAATGCAAACTGTATGGAGATGTAGTGCTGACAAGCATCCCATTTCACACTCACTCCTTCTCTTGTCGCCTCCACAACAGCTATAAACTACAGCCACAAAAATCACTAAAGAAACTGACCTGTCCTTTCACTGAGAAGTCAGATCACGTTATTGGGGAAAATGAGGAAAGGGCAGACAGGATTAAAAAAAAAGTATTCACCTACTCCAGTCAGACACTTCAGCATTTCACTCAAGATTGAAATAATCTTTAACTGATGACTACATTTGCAAATTAAATTTAGTTAAATAATAAAAAATGTTGACCTGAAGCATCAGGTTCAATATTGTTGATTTAAAGAATGACCACGAATCCATTGCCAATTGTTGGAAAAACCCATCTGGTTCACCAATGTCCTTTAGGGAAGGAAACTGCCATCTTTACCTGGTTTAGCCGACACATGACTCCAGGCCCACAGAAATGTAGCTGACTCTTAACTGCCCCCTGGGCAATTAGGGATGGGCAATTAATGCAGGCCTAGCCAGTGATGTCCTCATCCCATGAATGAATAATAAAAAAAAGTTCAGTTCAACCCTTCTAATTTACCCCAATTAAACAGCAGACAAAATTTGTGTGTATAGAGGTCAGTACGCTATGTGTATAGAGGTCAGCATGCAAACAATTTACTTCACAAAAGGAAACCTATTAAACTGAATTTTTAAACTCAAAGCTATTCCCCTCTCCCTAGCCCCATTTCTTCCTCACAGTTTCTTTAAGTCTTTTGGCTAAATTTTAGCTGCAAGGGCAAGTGTGGAGAATAATGCTCGCATTGCCAGACTCCAAAGTACAGTTAATGAGGAGGATTGTCTTTTCCTATTATTTCACTTACTCCTCTCAGGCATCTAATGGAAGTGTTGCACCACCATGAAGTGTTTCAAATATATAAGTCGCTTACGCATTCAGGGATCAGCAGCTGTATGTTCCACAACAGAGCAGAATGACACTTACTAGTAAGTGTGGTAATGGGCTGTATTTTCTGTTTGATAAAATTTATAACCACAAAAAGATTATAATCTTGTTTGGCACAAGGTTCATTGGTGGTACGATGTAGGGGTGGTGGGGCAAAGGGCGGCAGGAGAGAACTTACAAAGAAGGGGATAAAACTACAAGATGACATCCATAGCAATGCTATGAAGAATCAATATTCTACAACTTCCCAAATAGGGCACATTTTGTACTTGAATATTAAACATTTAATAAAAGTTTGACCTAAATACCCAGCCTTAGTATTTAAATAAAACAAGGCTCTTGGGGAAGGATAAAGTACTTTTTCTAAAAAAAATCTTCTAAATATTAGCAGAAACACTCAAAAGTTTTTCCAGAATCCTTTCCAGTGCTTCCAATATTTGCATTTCAATCCTTTTCAGTATGCTTACCCATCCACCCCTCCCCTCACCACCCACTTCCTGTGGGTGCAGGAAACATACAATGTTCAACTCCATTCCAGGGTCTGATTCACTTCACTAGTACAAAAAAAAACCATTCAACAACAAAATAGGACTGCTCAAGTACGGAAAAAAGAGCTTTTAGTGAGTGGGCCACAGATACAGCTGCACCAATAATAGCAGTGGAGAAGCACCAGCACCAATTTGTGCACAGTGAAGAATTAAAAAGGTGTTTCCATTTTCCCTGTGATCTGCAGTTGAACAGGGGCCCTCACAAAGCCCAATGGCAACATTTAACTCCAGCTGCCCTCAAGACCTAGGGATGGACTTACATTTGTCTAGTACAATGTTAGCATATATTACATCAGATGTCTGCAGTAATATCATAACCGCGACATACTTCTAAACTCAACTGCATCTGGATGGCACAAAAAAAACATAACTTTTTACCATACCATACTTTTTAAAATCCTAATTGCCTGGGTATAGAATTAGAAACACAGAATACATCCTGTTCACTTGAACTGCATTCTTCATGGAGTCCATTACTTTTTGCATATATGGAACAACAAAAGGGCAGAGAAATTTGAACAGCAGCAAATGCTAGTAAAATGGACCATTGCTCCAAGGGAAGTGGAAAAAAAAATGAGAGGCACACAGCACACCATGCTGTGCTCATTAGAAAGCAGAACTAAACAGTACTGGGGTTTGTAGACAGTTAGCAGAAGAAAAGAAGACAAATCACTTTGCACACTTACCAACATTATGGAAGGTACTACTCCAGATTTGAAAAGAAGTATTTAAAACAAAATCAAATTTAAGAAAGTGAGATTAGTATTCAAAAATTAGCTGCCATCTTTTATGTTTCTTACATAAACATCTGCAAAATTTTTTTTTGAATTGCACAAAAAAAAAAGCCCAGTGCATCATGGGGCTCTCTTTTCCTGGATGAGCCATGTTCTTAAGGTATAACATACCAGGAAGCATGCTCAATGGATTCTGAAAGAAGTTTCTTACTCTATTCAAAATTAAGCTGTTCACATAAGATCCAAATATCATCATCACAACATCCAAAAAGAAACTGACAACACAATAGAAGTCATGTTGAATCAGCTTGTTTCAAAAAAAATATTAAAGGTTAACTTAATGGGTTTTTGTTTTATACAGGAATGGGAATAGGTAGCAACCACCAATTCACCCTCTCTCAGCCAAATCCCCATCGGTCCTTTAGACTAGAAGATCTTTCTCTGCCATCCAGAAGAATGAACAGTAAAACAAGATTATTCTGTTTCTTTCCCCCTTACCCTAAATCTAAATAGCTTTAAATTACTTGTCCATTACAACAATGTATTGATGCTCACCTTCTGGGTTAAATATGACTGGTTCAAGTAAAATTGCAAAAATTCAGTTCTACGTTAATAACATTATGCATAATGTTTTTGTTTTTTAAAAGCACAAGTTTTGGTGTAAATATGTGCGGCTGCAGACATCTGACTGAACATTTAAATGCTAAAACCAACATTAAAAGATGCCCTGGTCTATTCATTTTAGTTTTGTGAAGAGCTCCAGAGTCACAGAAGCCATAAAATGTTCTTTATTTGTATTTCTTTTTTTTCAATTTGTACTCCAGTACATTGAAAACGACCCTTGTGCAACTTTTTGTTTTCAAATTTTGCCAGTTTTAAACTTTTTTTTTGTCAGAAGCTCTCCTGAATGCCTTTGGTCTTCTTTCACACAGAGTTCAGTGTCCTCCGACAAGTGAAAGAAATCAGATAACATAGTCAAGTCTAGTTCAAGAAGAATACATCGACTAAACTAAAAATGCAAAGAGGTCTTCTCCATACATGGGTGCTCTCGTCAGAGTTGCACTAGATGTTGTAGAGATCTGAAGTTAAGACTAGAGTTCTCAATGGCTGCTCCATGAAAAAGAACGTCTAAAAGTTGGAGATTTTTAAATTCTCATGATAAGTAGCCTAGAGCCGTCAGCACCAGACTGTTTGGACTTAAGTTTCAGCTCCACACGAATGACACCAAAACAAAAACCAAAGAAAAAGATACATTTCCAGTTTATTTTTGTGTTTCTCTGTGACTGAAATAAAAGCAAAAAACAAAGTCACAGTTGGAGTTTAGGTAGCACCAGGTCACCTGAACTCTTGAGTACGCCCCTGTCCTGTTCATATTCTGTACTCACTGTGCAAAAGCAGCCAAGTACAATGCCCTCAGTGTTCTGTAATCTGTCATTGCCAACTCAAACATTCATCTACGCAGAGAGGGCAGCTGGCTATAGACGGGGTAAGCCAGTCTCACATTCAGAGAGTCATTGTGCTGGACCAGTGAAGTTTGTTGGTAATGCAGCACCAGGTCTTTAAGAGTGCTGTACAAGTTGTATGGTTCGGCAAATCCATAACCCCTTGGCGTGCTGTAAATGACGCAGTGCTTCACTTCTCCATCAGCGCTGCAGGAGACAATGCAAGAAATCATTAGCAAGAGATAAATTCTATGATGGCACATATTAAGGAAGCAATTTGGTTCATTGATTCAGGGCCAAAGCCAGTCAACACAATAGTTGTTAAAATTTATAGCAGGAGATTTAAAATGTAAATTTAGTCACTGGATATCTCAAATATTACAAGAAATATTTACCCAAGTGCAAACAAAACTGGAGGTAATCCTGTGATACAGAAATCAGTGTTTACTTTTCTACATTTATCATTGCCCCCTGCTTTAATAAGATTATCCCTCATCCTTGTTCCAAACAGCATTCCACTGGGAACAGAATATTTTTTCAGCAAGTAAACCCTACTTCTTAACTCGAAAATGCCCAGTGCAGAGTAAGGAAAATTTACTCCTTTTTACTAAAAACTACTCCTTTATAATTCCTTTGCAAGCCAGTATTAAGATCAGACAGGCATCAATATCAAATTGATGCAGAGAACTACTTTCCTGAAAATATGAAGTTAAAATGTGACCTCTTCAAAATGCAATAATAGTTCTGTGCAGAACTCAAAGAACAGGGACAAAATCACTTCCAGATTCCCTTCCTCGGACTTTAAATATTTAGATAATACCCATTATCAATTTTAATAAATCCAGATTTAATTCTTGTGTAGATTTATAGATCAAACGTTTGATAACTTGGAATTATTCTTGTTTATTATTCAGAATCAGACAAGTAAAGCAACCAATATTGCACAAAAAATGAAACTTCATCTCATTTATACTTCCCATGAACGTGTTTAGCCTTTATTTCCTTGCAATCGCTTCCAAGCTCTAGCACTTAAATATCCGAACTTTTTTAAACACCGTGAGATTTCCCTCCAACAAACTATTTAAAAAAACAATTTTTAAAAATTGATTGTTTATATAGATTCCAATCAAAATTTATTATTTATTATGAAACTAAAATTTTTATCAAGATTTGCCTGTACTTTAAATATTTAGCAAAGCTGACTTTAATTATTAAAAAGGGTCTAGATACCATTTATCAGCTGTTATCTACCATGTCTTCTTCATGTGGTGGCTTATTTTGGATAGCCTCTGAATGAAGAAAAAAATCTCCCATAAGGTAATGCCCATTTGGAGATTTGGCAACTATAAATAGAAGTGTATCCATGCAGCTGGTCAAAGTGCCACCAAGGTCTCTCCTCCCTGAAGAAAGACTGCTTTTATTCTTTGAGGCAGGCAGATTTTGGATTTTTACTGTACTTTATTGTGAATGCAGCAGAAAGACATTCTTTTTCAACACAATCATCCCTTCTGAAGCATATCGAACTGCTCAGTCTGTCCCACAGAGTACTGGTCATGTGCCAGGCCATGTAGACAAAGAAACCTTAATGTATCCCTTGGTACCAGTTCTGAAGTGCTAGCTTCCTATAGGATGAGGTCTGCCCTAGGTCTGGCCCTCAAGCTTTAGAAATTGGATGAGTGAAAATAAAATTAGAAAAATGCCTAGCTAAAGGAGTAAGAATTTCTAGGGACAACGCAGAATGGAAAATTACATTAATGTGTCTACAACATTTTTAAGGCATCGGTCATGCACAAGCTTTCTATATATCTGACCTAGAAAAGGCAATATGCTAATGTAAGGGTCTGACTCTACAGAATTCCCTTACGTCCTTTAACTAATGCTCCTATCACTCGTGTTTCAACCAATAACTCATACCTTGTTTTGTGATAACTCCTCCCAACACTGTCTGCCAAACTGAATAGTTTATTCAGATCTCATCCTGTATTCGTTTCACTGAGTGAGAAACCTGCTCCCTCCCTTCATCCAACAGCTTATATCCAACCCTGCACTCCAGTCTCTTGCTTTTCTCTTACATCAGCCAAATGATAGGAGAATAAATCAATGTAACGTATCACGGTTATTGGCAAGGGAATGGAGAGAAAAGGGCAAAGAAAAAGTACACAAAAAATAACGTATCATTGCAAGTGAAATTTGCATTAATTCCTAGAATTTACATTTATAAATGATATGTCACACATTCCTGACAAATTCCTTCATAAAACTCCCTTCAAGCAAAATTACAAATTGAATACATGATTAGGAGAGAAACTGTCTCAATATGGCATCAAAGGAATTCTCTCAAGTCACAGTTAAGCCTCCTATAAAATAAAAGTATGACACTTACACCACAGAGCAGGCATAGCAGCCCTTTTTACTGCTTTCCCTGATTAGGAAGGCACCATCCGACTTTCCTCGCAGTAAATCTTCAGCTTGTGTTCGATTAATAGCTCCTACAAACCAGGTCTTTTCATCGTAGTGAGGAAGGTTTTCATCTTCTTCAGTGATAAAGTATGTGCTGAGATGAAAACGTTTTGTTAAAAGTTATTCTACTGAGCCTTGGACAGCATTTTCTCAAGGAGCAATATTAAAAAGCTTGCTGTCTTGTTTCAGAATTCCAACTCTATGATGCACTCATAATTTACACTGAATTGTGCGACCAATGTTATAGCTCTGAATTTCTACTAATCATTTGTTCCACAACTATCGATTCTATCCCTCTGCCTGAAGTCAGTCTGTTCGGGCAACGTTAGCGTCAGGTTTGATGTTGAGATTAGCTTCTCACCTCATATTCATCAATAAGGCTGCCTACCTTCACATCTAGAACAATGCTGGACTTCACCTTATCTCAGCATATTTGTTGCTGAAACACTCATTGTGCCTTAATTACTCCTAAATTTTCACTATTTCAATGCACTCCTGGCAGGTCTCCCACACTGAGGCCATCCAGAGGTCTGCTGCCCTTGCGTTAACTTGCAGCAGGACCCATTCCTTTGAAACCCCCGTGCTCACTGACAGTGCCTATGTTGGCTTCTAGTCAAGTAATAACTTCATTTTAAGATGCCTGTCCTTGTTTGCAAATGCTTCCATGGCCTCCCTGTCTTTGCTATCTCCTCCAGTGTTCCCAACTCTCTAAAACATCTGTACTCTTCTAATTCTGGTCTCTTGGGCTTCCTCAATTTTAATTCTCCACCACTGGCGCCATGCCTTCGGTTGCCCAGGCTCTGAGCCCGAGAATTTCCTCCGTAAATCTCTCCAGGTCTTTATCTCATTAGTACTCTCCTTAAAATCCACCGCTTTTGCCAAGCTTTTAGTAACAGACCTAATAGCTCCTTTCTTGCTTAATGCTCCTGTGAAGCATCTTAGGACTCTTCATTACCTTGAGGGTGTTACATAAATACAAGGTGTAAAAAAAAGAGATAACATAAAATTCAAAAACATATTTTAAATAAGATTGTTGCAAATAGGGTCAAATGTCCCTCCTCCTTTGCAGTACCAATCAGCCAACTGATGAACTGAATCTGGCTGCATGCAAGATTGATTCAAAGTCCATGGAAATAGATGACCCTGTTTTTCAGGGCTACAATTGGTTTGATCACTGAGAAACTGAGGAATGTAAAAGATATTGGGTTCTCAGTGCTTTATATGATTCTGGGTTTGTCCATTCATGGACATTCCTGTTAAGTACCATGGAAGGGACAGCAAAATTGGACATTGTCAACAACTGCATAACTGATGGTATGCTGTTAGTTACCACAAGCACACTCAATGAAAATTCTTTTCTAGAATTTATAAATGTGATCAAGAAAAGTGCACCAACTCTTTGCACTCATTTTTGGACTCTTGAAAATTAGATATGAGCTCAGAGATTTACTAAAGTCTCCAATAGGAACAGATTTTTTAAAAAATCTTATGCTTTACGAAATAGAATACCCCAAGATAAAAACAGAATTCTGTAAATCTGAAAGTGTCAGACCAAGAGGTTACACTATGATATTTTGATGAAGCATCTCTAATAAAACATTGTTTTTTTTCTTGATATTGACATTAAATTTATCACCTGTTTCTATTTCTCACTGACATTCGTAGAAGTTTTTCTGATCAAAATATAACAAAATACTGAAAATGATCCTATGTTAAGATATCAAGATTCAACTTACATTCCTTACAAGACAGAACTTGCTTTCAAGGAAATAAAACCTTTAACTGTAAATAAAATGTGTTATTCTAGTTTTGATGACTAACAAAAGGCAAAAGTACACGCAAACAATGAGGGATGGATTTAGACAGAGCTCTATTCCTTCACCATATTCAACACAATGGATAGCTCCAAAAATAAGTTCATTCTATAGTTCACCAATAATTTCTTATTCTAGCTCAACTTTTTTTTTTTTGAAAAGTCTCTTTGTGGCAAAACTTTTCCAAGCTAGACTCAGGGTGGCCCATTTTTACAAAGATTCCATACCATTTTTAAATTTCAGCAAACCTATTGTCAGCAAGCTTTCACAGACAACCTTCATAAGGATCATATAACTATATTCCTGGTTTAGTTCCAGGTAAGAGGGAAAAGAACTAGTATTTTTCAGCAGAATCATTGATGAGGACAATTATACTCACTCATCTACATTTTCATTTTTGATTCCAAGCCAGTCATTTATTCGCTTTTGACGCACTCCTTTGTGATTGAGCCATCTGCAAGACGGAGGTAGTGGTGGTCAGGGTAGGGGTTGGGGAGTGAGCGTGTAGAGAGAACAGCAAGAGAGAGAGAGAGAGAGAGAAAACCATTAATTTTAATTTGTTTAAATTGCCAATGTTTGATCATACTTTGCCCCTCAGATAATTAAATACAACATTATTTATTTTCCACTTCTACTTACACCAGGTACTGATCCCTGATTTTACGTAGTTGAATTAGGTCAGGCTTAATGCTGTTCATTTTCTTATCAATTTCCCGGTTATCAGACGCTTGTTTCTTCAGATCCTGCTCCAGGCGTATCTTGCTGTCATGGATCTCTCCAAGACGAGACTTCAGTTTTTCATAGTTCATCATTATCCTATCACATAAGAAAATTAGTTTTCAATTACTGGTAAAAAAATGCAAGTCACTCCATCTACCAACAACTCAATTAAACAAAACTGATCAATATATCGATTTTAGTAGATTTCGAGAGAGAAGATTCATATAATTAAGCAATAAGCCAAAAGCACTATTCTTACTCGTAAACATATATTATATATAAAAGCGCTGAAATATTACATTTGGGGTATTGTCACAGTCTTCTCTAGTGTTAACAATGTATAAGACATTGCCAAACTGACAGACCTGACATGTAAATAGCAAATTAATTTCAATACAAGTGTCAGGCAATACTTTTTGATAGAAAAAAATAAAGGAAGCCTGTCTACTTTTTGGAAAATGATGGAAAATGACAGTAAAATAGGAGTGGAGGAAAACAATGGCTTGGTTTTAATGTCACTGTCATCCAGAGCTTCAAGCAAGGGTTCTGGGAATGAGTTCAAATCCCACCACAGAAACTGATGGAATTTCAACTCAATTAATACATCTGAAATGTAAAGCTAGTCTCAGTAATGGTGACCATAAAACTCAAACAATGCAAAACCCCATCTGGTTCACTAATATTCATTAGGGATGGAAATCTGCCATTCTTACCCAGTCTGGGCTTCACATGACTTCAGACCCACATCAATAAGGTTGACTCTTAACCACCTTCTGAAATGGTTTAGCAAACCAGCCAGTTCAAGAGAACTAGGAATGGGCAACAAATGCTGGCCAATGCTCACATTCCAGGAAAGAGCAGAAATGGATCAATGGCTCAACAAAAATCAATTAAATTAAGAAAGCCATTAAAAATGCAAATCAGTTACTGGGGTTCATTTCAAGAGGTACAGAATGAAAAACTGGAGAAGTTATATTAAACCTGTACAATGTTAGGTGTACCACATTTGAATTGCTGTGCACAATGATCTCCATGTGAAAAAAATTTGGAAATATTGGAGAAACTGCAAAATAAATTGACAATGATGATACCAGAACGGAGAGGATCTTGGGGGTCTTTTTGAGAGAAAAGAAAAGACAGAGAGGTGACATCAAGGAGTTCACCATCACATGAAGTAAACTGAGGAAAATAGTAGGTGCGCATTTAAGGAAGAGTGAATTAAGAGGAAACATGGAATAGAAGGTAGTATGATAGGGTGGAATAAGATGGCAAGAGGCAAGTGTGCGGCACATACAATGGTCTGGACCAGTTAGGCCAAATAACCTATTTTGGTTAAATTATTGGTAAAGATCTGTAGCTCGCATTATGGATAAGGTTGTTGACTTGCTCGTTGAGCTGGCTTGTTTTTGTTCAGACATTTCATCACCATGCTAGGGGACATCATCAGTGGAACCTCCGATGGCTCCACTGATGATGTCACCTAGCATGGTGACGAAACGTCTGAACAAAAACAAGCCAGCTCGGCAAGCAAGTCAACAACCTCAACCTACTTTGATGTTGTAAGTTTCAAATGAAATTTCTGATTAGGAGTAATATCCTGCATTAGAATCGAGGAGAGGATGGCTTCTTTTATTCACCAGGCAACTCCATATGTTTAAGATTTGAAGAAAAACATATAAAAAGCAATAGTACCGCTCAATTTCCTTCTCATTCCCTTCCCTCCGAAATCTCTCAATATATTCTTTGCTGTAACGTTCTTGAGTGTGACACTGCTCTTCAAATATTTTTATTGTTTCATTAAAAGCTTCAATTGCAGTTCTCTTCATTTGTATTTCCTGTTGGAGACAGATTGATGTTACCTTTAAGTGACAGATTTACAAGCTATATTTCATAGACAGTTCAATAAGATTTTGCATTAAAACTTCTATTCTTTTTAACTGCAGTATGTAAAACATGGAAATTTCGTGTTCTACCGTAAACTACAGTTTAGAATCAATAAAATCAGAAATGGATGCAATATCTTTTTATGAATGTTATTTGGTACTCAGTGGCGGCCCTGCGGTACATTCAAATGCATTGCAAAATTCAATTTTGCAACTCTTTCTCAAAATGAAGTGATTTAGAATCTAATAGTCATTGAATCATGTATCTAATGGCTTTGGTCAGAATTTCTGCATGGGTCATCACCTCTGTAGCAACGTAAACACCTCAGCTAAAATGAAGTCAACATGTTCTAGAACCAAGCAGCTCAATCCATCTCAGATCAGTGACAGTCTGGTTCCTGATCTGCCTCTTTTCAAAGTTATATTGAACTGATGGCATTAAATGCCACAAATTATGACATTAAAACCCACGTAAGAGAAAAGGAATTTATTTGGTACATTCTAGTACTTTTGAAATTCAAGCTTACAATATAAACCAAGTGTAGATTTCATAGTAATGCAAATTTTGAATAATAGCGTACAGGGCTCAAATAATAGGCATTATAAAAAGGGAATAGTTGCACCCTAATGCATTGGTTTATATAAAGTCATCTGTATTCTACCACTTGATAGGAAAGTTGTATAATAGTGCAATAGTTTTAGGACAAAGATAACACTGTGCACCAAAATCTTCCATGCCTGTTGCTGATGTCAACAAAATCACAGATTAATATAACAGAGGCCACAATGTTCCATAAAAAAGGAATGGGATTTCAAGGTCAGTATGATAATAATCAAAGTTTTTGAAAACTCGGGTAGCTACTTCATGAGAAAAATAAAATTAAGGAAACTGCATTCAAGAACTTTATTAAAATGTACTGAGGCATTGCCATTTCTGCAAAGAATATATTTTTGAGAACTTGGACATACAAATCTGACCCAAACCACAAAATATAGGAGACTTGAAGGTGATATGCCAGTTTCATAACTCTTGAAAAATATAGCTGACATTACTGAGTATATTATAAAGTAATGATACTTGAAACACAATGCCCGAAGGAAGCACACCAGTGGTGGTGATGCACAGGTCATATGTTTTTAACAAAATTCAGAATTGTGGAAACCTCCCTATAACCATTTAGTGGAAATACCATCATGCATCAGTGCCAACTCTGGTCCTGCACGTTGTTGTTGGCAAAAACTAAATGAAGCCATCTTGCAAGTTGGAACACAATCAGAAAGGAATGGAATGGAATGTGGAAAGGCCATTTAAGCCAACAGCCTCACTCCTACTGCAGTGTACGTAATTTATTCCATGTCTTATAAAGCATAAAGCTGGAAATATATTCACCTTTTCCCATCCTCAATCTCAATTATCCAGCCCTGGCTCATTAACAAATTTCTTCTCTTGCCCCAGCAACAGCATTGCAAACATTCAAGTTCCACTGGTTCGATTAAATTACTGCTTTACAATCATTGTTAAAAAGATATTACATTCAACTGGACTTGTATTTTGGTAGGTTAGCTGTACCTGCGATGTCCGTGTGTATTCTTCATAAAGCCGATCATATTCTTTACTCTTATCCTGATATTGGTTATGGTATTCCTGCAGTTTTTTGCCAACAGCATCAATATTGTCTTCTTTCACCACTTGATCCTGTTTAACAAAATGAACAGTACATCATACAGTATCTAGGTTCTCATCAAGATTAGCAATAGTGCGAAGACAGACATTTCATTTTCTTTATTCTTTCATGAAAGATAGGCTTTGCTATCAAGACTAACATTTACTGCCCATTCCCAATTGCCTTTGAATTGAGTGGCTTGCAATATTCCCTCTAATGCCTTTTAATTTGATGTGCAGACCTTTGATGTCTGTGTGCAGCATCAACTTCTGAACCCAGACATCAATGGGCAGCACAGTGATCAGCCCAACTTTAATGCGCAGAACCTTTGAGCAGCTGCACAGTCATGCAGGTTTGAAGAATATTGTTGCTAGACTATTTCAGAGTGCAAACGAGAGTCAACCATACCGCTGTGGATTGCAAATCTCATGTCAGAGAAGTATGACAATCCGGGCAAGGATGGCAATTTCCTTCCCGAAAAGAACTTAGTGAACCGGATGGGTTTTTTTTTAAGTAATTGGTAACAGCTGCTATGGTCACCATTACTGAGACTAGCTCTACATTACAGATTTATTAATTGAATTCAAACTCCACTAGCCGCTGTGGCGGGATTTGAACCTATGTCTCCAGAGCATTATTACAATGCCTCCCTAAATATGATCCTTTGTAAAAAGTAAGTGTGGAGATTTCTCTGCACAAGATGCAACACAATCTACCCACAGATTGCAATTTTGGCACCAAACTATCAATCAAGTTCATACCTGCATTAAGATCATGGTGAAATACACCCAACACCTGAGGCTTCTGGCTCATTCGTGATTAATTGTAAATTGTAAAATGTGTTTGATATGACGGATTAATCCACCACATTAATTACTCTTTGACTACACATTTTAAATAGTCAGTCAGCCTTCCTACAGCAACCACACCTCATTGAGAACTCCTATATTAATATGGCACCCAAAAACCACATGATTAGACGGAGGCTCAACTATCAAATGCAGGAAATAAAAAATGTTATCTTACCTGCTGGAACTTAGAGACTGGATACATTAATTTTACATCCAATTTTGGGTTGTACTGGGCAAGGGACTCATGCCTGTAGTGGTTAATAAGTTCCACCACAGAATTAAAAGTGAGTGGGTCAGAGAAGCCATATTTTCCATCTCGATGGTATATTTTGATTAGCTTGTTATTGCCTCCTTTCCTATAAAAGGACAAATATAAAGGCAGTGGTAAGTTAAGCAGCTAACATGCAAAAATATACCAAAAGGGACTGCATTAAAGCAAACTACAGCAACAAACTGAACTTAGCTAAATAGCCCCAGCCCTTGAAGTAGAGTACCAGACAATGGCACGAAGAATTGAGTGAGAGCTGCAGTTCATTTGGTAAAACCTCCAAATCAGTTAGTTTTTGGTTAAAGACCCACTCTAGACTTGAGCATAGCAATCCGGCTGATGTTCCGCTGCAGCGGTGAAGAGGCACTGCACTATCAGAGGCATCATCTTTTAAATGATACGCTAAACCAAGACCCCAGGTGCCTCTCAGGAGCGTGTAAAATACCCCAAGGCATTCTTTAGAAGGTAAGGACTGACCTCCCTCAACCAGCATCACAAAAATAGACAGGGCTGTTTGTGGGATTTGCTGTGTGCAAACTAGGTTGCCATGTTTAGTCCACACTAACTACACTTCAAAATTACATTTGCTTAAAGGCACTTTGTGAATTCCCATGCTCATGAAGGCATTACGAAAATGGAACTCTTTCATTTATTATCAGTCCTTTAATGCACATCTATTTAATGATCAGTTTACATATTGTGTATATAAAAGGGTAAAGTTACCATAGTCCTACTGGACCATACGGCTGCTCTCTCAAAGAGACGTGGTTAGTGTTGGATTAACCGGGAGGTGGGGGAGGGGGGATGGGGGATCACCTTGCCTCAGGGGAGGGGAGAGGTTGCAAAGGAGGTGGCAACCTCAGATGATGCAGGAATTCAATATCTCTGCAATGCAAACCAGCTGTCCAGCCAACTAAGCCAGCTTCCATTCCATCATCCACAAGTGCATCCAAACTCAAGTTCAGGATTTAAAACTTGATCCATCCAAATACTCAATGACTTTTCACTTGACATGGACTTCAGCTGGGAATCCAACCATCCTGACAATAAAGTAACAACTTGAAAAAATAAAATGGCTCCATCCTAAAAGTGAGGTGCTTTCATACCTGTGATAACCAATTTAAAACAAGATGTTTCCATTCACAATTACAACTCAAGATAGACTAACATTATGATAAACACAAATAATTCACATTTGATTCCTTTTAACCTCAAATTTTTCAGAGCGACTGACATCATGGCATATACCTGTGTCTACTTATTCCAAGTTTCATTCTTATTCAAATCAGGTTTTTTTATTGAGATTTCTTTCATGTTCTTACACTGGCTGTGGGTTGCACACTCTGTGAGAAAGCTAACAAATGTTGACTTCAAAAAATATCATGGTTGACTAGCGTGACTGGTGCCAAATTAAAAAGCTTTAATCCAAACTAAGTAAGGCTTGATCACCAACTGGCTTACTGCCTCATAACAACGATCAGTTAAGCTCTCAATGGTATCAGACAAAGACTATAGAAACAAGCCAAAATCATTTAGTGGTGCTTTTGTATGCATTCGAGTACACAGCAATAGATTGCTTACAGCAGAAGCTTGGGACCAGGTCTAAAGTCTAACCCCTCAGTTGAGGGGTCAAGCTTGGGAAGTTGATAGCATTTATTGAAGTCAACACAAGTTAAACAAAAAAAAATCAGATTTCTCCTAACATCTTCAGAGCAAATGTTTTTTCTTCTCTTATACTGAATCTTGAGTTTCTATAACTACGAGTTAAAAGTTAAAAGTCCCACAAAGTTTCTGTTGGAGCTATAAACGTGATGGGGACAAATGAAAATAATAGTAGTCTGTTTTAGGTTTAAGTCCCACTCCACAAACTTGAGCACATAATCCACATTAAAACTCCAGTACATTACAAAGTAAGCATTGACTTTTAGATACAACATTAAAGTGAATCCTTGTCTATCCTATCAGGTACTGCTAAACAATCTCATGGTGCACTATTTTGAAGAACGGCAGGAAAGTCATCCCAGATTTCTGGTCAATAGTTATCATTCAGTTGAAATTACTAAAAACTGATTATCTCATTATGAATACATTGCTGTTTACAAAGGTTTGGAGTATGAAATTGGCTGTCATGTTTCTTACAAAAGTGACTATACCTCAACAGCATTAATTGGGCACAAAGCATTTTGGGATGCTCTGATGTGCAAAAGGCACCACCGTAATACAGGAGAAGTTTTTCTCAGGATTAAACTAAACTGACAGGGGAATGGGCATCAGTGTGTAAGAAAAGAGGAGTCAGGAACAAAACAGGAGCAAGGAGCAATTTTTGAATCTACTGCCATATGAAAAGATTTTCTTACATGCATTAAAACGTTCCATCCACATTCAAATTCATTTGTATGATGGAGCAATCTAATGTGTTCCCTTTCAATGTGTTAGTTGAGAAATCTAATGGCTCCTCCACTAGTCAACTGAAAGCCTAACTTCAAGACAGCATATATGATGTGATTTATAAAGCTCTATAGAAGAAGACTGGCCTTATTAGCAGACAGAAGGTTTATACCCGAAACATTGACTGCTTCTTTCTTCCAGATGCTACCTGGCTTGCTGTGTTCTTCCAGCCTCCTGTTTGCCTACCTTGGCCTTATTAGCAATTTTGTAAATATGATCCTTGCCAGCGTTTTTTTCCCGCACCTTAAAAGCTGGACATAGAAATTGCTATCTTGATGAAGGTAAACAAGATTATGACAGGTTTCCAAAGACAGGCAAAGTTAATATCCATAGATAGGCGAGGATAATTTGTTTCCATGAACTGTTGGATTAGGGAAACACAGATTTAGTATTCTGGGCAAGAAATGTAGGAAGAAAGTTGGAAGGAATTTTTTTGCATGGATAATCATAATTACCTAGAACTCCATGCCCATGTGAATGGTGGACACACAGACTGTCTATGATTTCAAAGGTAACTTGAAAGGACACGAAGGAAATAAGCGTGCAGGCATAGGATAGGAAAATGGGTCTGACTGCACTGAATGAGGCACTGACATGGATTCGATGGGCCATGTATCATAATCGACTCTTACAACTTTTTCCCATTTATAACTGACTTCACTTCACTAGCATTACAGTAATACTTGTTTTAACTACTGCAGAGTTTGGTCAGGTACACTACGTACAATTTACCTCCTCTGTATACCAAAAAAACACATTTGTCTTCACTGATCACCCAATGTGTTATGGTGCTCTTTAGCTTGATGTTGAACTCTACAGATCAAGCACATACCAGGTTGAGTTACTCATTTATAGAGTTATTTCTTAGTACCAGGTAGCAACTGCGTGATTACGATTGGCACCAACATCCCTAGACTATCGTCAGATATAAAATGGGTGTAGAGAGGAGGGGTTGAAAAAGCTCCTATTACCTCCCCATGCATTTAGTGAACAATGCATTTGTACAGGAGATCAGTGAAAACAAGACTGGAAATTGCAGTGATACCCTCCCTGCAAAAAACTGTTGATGTTCATTGTATAGCCTCATACACAATGAAAACCAATTTGGACAGAAATCAGAGGGGTGTCAATGCCTTTGGAGACAATATGAAGTTAATGCTGTTAGAAAAGATAAGGCTGTAGGCGGAGAAAACAGAAAAGAAAATGCATTAGCAGACACTAACTAATCTCTCTTTTTAGAAAAAGCAGAGTAAATATATTAAAGTAAAGCCTTTCAGAAAACCTTTCACTGCAATTAAAAAGCTTAGAAGTTGTGCAAGAGTTCTTAGCATTACTTCACTGAACTTTTTAATAAGCTAATACTGAGGCTGAATTAAGGGAGAACAATGCAGTGCTAAAAGGATAATTGGCTGTATTAACAATTCAAGCAGTGATTTGTGCAGCTTTCCAAGAAAGTGTACCAGTGCTAAGTAATACTTTTATGGTAGTCAAACCAGTACAATAAGATTAGAAGTAAAGGAGAGACTGTTTCCTTATCTGTACCGATCGTTTACTAATTTTTATTATTTGATCACAGCAGAAATAAAACACATTATGACTAACTAAATATAACCTTTTAAAAATGTAGCGGTAGGAAGTCAAATACGACCACAGCTAACGTGGAACAGTGAATGAAATCATTCAATGAGACATTAACAGTGTGCACTCGCAAGTCCACATCACTATAATATCCACATTGAAGTGGGTGACAAATAATTTCAATAGTGTTGACGTGGTCTACGTAAAGCACATCCTTCTGTACACATTATAAGGCTAGCCTAAGATGCTTACAACATAGAACACCACTTCAGGATATGACCAATGTTCCCAACACCAAGAACGGATATCAACAGAATCCAGCTGGCAACATATTTTTAACAAATCAAAATATAATGTGTTTAAAAAAAATGAAAATCAAGCACAAGTGTACAAAAAATTCAGTCCATACATAGTGAACGAGAATCATCTTCTCATCCAGTAGCGTATTTACTGTCAGTGTGACCCAAGTATTAGCGGAAAAGCAACCTCCTTGTTTGGTGAAGGAGGAATGAAATTCATTGTTGACTGAGCACAATTGCCAATTCTAAGAAAATCCCACAGGACTGTAAGTAAAACTACTCAACAACCTGGTTAACATTGTGCAACTAAACTTCCAAAATGCTTTAGATGAAGTTCTGCAGAAAAGGACTACCAAATCCATTAAATTCATGGGATTAGTAGGAAGATTTTTGAATCAGACAGGATGTCTTATAGGCAGGAAGTAGCTATTAGTGATAGAAGTACTGCGTAAGAACTGGTTCATACTGAATTTCCAAAGAAATTGGTACAGGGGCAGTTGTACAACCACATCTTTATCACTGATTTAAATGATGGCATCAGCAAAATTATTTGCAACTTTATGAAGATGTGAACATATGCAATGACCAAGTCAAAATGAGATCTAGATGTAATGGAGGAATACACCTGCCATGAAAGTGCAACATGTAGCAGATGGAACAACTGCAAGCATAGACAGTTGAATGCATGAGCTTACTAAGATAACAATAAGATGCTTAACCGAATAATTTATTAAAGGTAAATGCCCGCTAACAAAGAAAAACTAGTGAGAATTATTACATTGATAATTAAGGGCAAAAAGTACGATTCCTTCTTTGAACAAAACTCTGGTTGAGACTAGATTTAGAGCAAAGTGTGGTCCAAAACTGAATACTCATTACAGGTGATCGAGGCCCAAAAACAAGTGCCTAGTTTTGGGGCAGATTCAGAAAAATATTTAGCCTTGGAGGATTATAACTGAGATCTTTACATTGTAAAGATAACACTCAGTCCACATTGATCTGCTATTGAACAAGACAGGAACAGGGGACATACATACACATTGCTAAAAAATGTAGAATTAAGTTCGAACCCAGGAGGTGTTTCTTTTTACTGCGTGTTCCCATTTGCTGGAATAAGTTGTTGGGATGTAGTACGAGTTTATATTTATTGCAGACATTCAAAGGAGAGTTGGGTGAACTCACGTAAGTGACAAGGGTGTGGGTCACTGAGATCAGAGTCACCAATTTGGTTTCTCAAAGCTTAAACTCTTGCGTTTGGCAGTCATGGAGAACTTTTGCTGTGTCTTCTTCCTTCCTCAAACATGCCGAGGCTTTTTTCTAGCCTTCTCCAGGAGATTACAAAAGTACAATGTGACACACAAGATGCCATAACACACTAGGCTTAATGAACTCAGCGTCAATACAGTGTGGATCTGGAGGAATACAGCAGGTCAGGCAGCATCAGAGGAGCAGGAAAGTCGACGTTTCTGGTTGGAACCGTTCATCAGTCCTAATGAAGGGTCCGGACCTGAAATAATGACTTTCCTGCTCCTCCGATACTGCCTGACCTGCTGTATTCCTCTAGCTCCACACAGTATTGAATCTGACTCCAGCATCTGCAGTTCTTGCTATATGTTAATGAACCCAGTGGTTGCCTTCCATTCGTTTTCTGTCAGTTGAGTTTCAGTAAGGATGCTGCAAAGATATTTATGTACATATGCCTCCAAGAGTGAGCAAGAGGTATGTGTCATTATTAAATATCAATGTGGAAACTTGAGAATCCACCAAATAGCTTATCAAATTAGCAATGCCTTCCCTCCTCAAATTAAGAAAAACACAAAATAGCATTTTGACATGAAAATTTCCAATATTCCAACTTATTGTTTACCTGAGGGTCAAAGTATAATCTCCCTGCATCTTAGTAGAAGCATCCCGCACGAGGAACGTACCATCTGGCATGTCTCGCAACTTGTCATTCACTTCTTCCCTATAGATAAAATAAAAGTGGAGATTAGACTGGGTCAGTAGACATTTATCACAAACAAGCCATTTTATCTTGGCAAAGCTGCTCCTCTTAAACCTGCGTCTGCTAGCTTGATAGGACCAGTAATTTTTTTTTTAATATTAATTATACATTGTTGTCACTCCAATTACCTATGCTATATCTCATTACTTTACTGTTTTATTCCTCATCTTTTGCATCTCCTATTTAAGAGAACTATTATTGGTAACTAGCTTTGCTTTCCTGCTTGATCTTGCATGGGTAGGCCCATTAGAAAACTTGCTGCTTGCCAGGCAAGATTTTGTTTAAAACTGCATTGTATAACATAATTTGATAGAAACTTTATTTGACTCACAAAATTGACTTCAAGTCATTGTTTCAGTTAGATTTAGCAGAATTAGTTTGACACCCTTCATTACCAAGTCAATAGGTTTTTTTTAAGTAAAGCTGGCAGCTACATCTCAGCAGGCATTAGGATGCACCAGATACAAATGATATACCGACCTAGAGATATCTCCCCAGTACCATTCAGCATCTTGTAGAGAGATGCTTCCACTATCTTTCATTCCATTGGCAGTTATTGATGTCATGGGTTTAGGTGGCTTCGGAGGAAGAGCTGCAAGCAAATAGAAAGAGGCAAAACATTAATATCACAGAAATCCAAGAGTCCTCCATATTTCTTCATCACTGTAAAATACCTGTGCTTAAACAGAATGGTGACACACAATGCGTGTCGATTTTGACTGTTAATTTACTGATTTTTCATTTTGATTTGCTATGTTCTTATTTTATTAATTTCTCTAAGTGGCAATCTACAAGGTAGGCAAGAAATTTTGGATAAAAGCCCATGAGCCACCTGACGAATGCTACAGATGAACAGGAACAATGACCCAAGACAGTAGATGTTAACAAACAAGGGGAAGAATGAATCAAAAAACAAAGATAAAAACAGAAAACATCAGAAATACTCAGCAGCTCCGACAGCATTTGTGGAGAGGGAATAAAGATTTTTTTTCAGTTTTAATGAAGGGTCATTAATTTGAAACATAAACTTAAAGGGATGAACTACCCAATGGGACAAAAAATTTTTTAAAGGCAACTTGTGTGGATATGTTACAACATAGAGGGTAGGTGACCTTCTGGTCAGAGGTAATGACACTACCATTGTTCCACAAGATCGAAACAGAGTCATATCTCTACAACTACATATTTTCTACCCGAGACTATTGAAACAACGTGAGCAAATTCACTGATTGCAGGATTATCCCCTCGGACCAGAAGCTTGTCAATAGCACACCATTATTCAAGAAAGACAAGAGAAATAAACTAGAATGTTTAGGACTGTTAGCCTAATATCAGTTGTAGATTTATTAAGGGCAGTGATATTGAGCTTTTGTGCAAACAGGAGTCGACCAGAAAGAGTCAGCATGGACCTACAAATCCATGTCACATCTGGACACAGGCATTTCTGGTAAAACAAATACTTATTGTCTGTTCCTCATTGATCTTGAAGGCAGTGGTGAGCTGTTTTCTTGATTTTCTAGGCCATTTCAGAGGATAGTTAAGAATCAAGCACATTGTTGTGTGTCAGGGGTCAAACACAGGCCAGACTAGGTAAGAACAGATTTTTATCCCTAAACACCATCTATGCGTGTCATGGGTTTTTAATAACCTTCAGTATTTAAATGGTCACCATTAGTTTCAAACTGGATATTGTTTCATTAATTGAATTTAAAGGAGTAACTAATGAAATTGGTAAAGGAGCATCTATGGATGCCATTTATAAGGCTTCCAGAAGTCACTTGATATGACTTGATACAAGACAAAGATTAGGTGCAAAATGATAGTGCATGGAATTGGGCTGCTACCTACCAGCTTGGATAAGAAATTGGTTATGAATAGAATACCAAGAAACTACAGAAGGTGGTGTGCATAGCCCAGACCATCATGGAAGACAACCTTCCATCCAAGGACTCTATTTACACAGCTCGCTGTCATGGAAAGGCGGCCAAAATCAAAGATCCATAGCACTTTGGTAACGATCTCCTGCAACATTTTCCGTCAGGCAGAAGATACAGAAGCCTGGACACACGGATGAGCAGGTTCAGGAACAGCTTCTTTCTAGCCGTTATCAGACTGTTGAATGGGGTCTAGCCTCAAATAACGTAACCTGCAATGTAACCTGTATGCCTCTATGTCTTTTTGATCTATACATCCTTTGCTTGCAATGATCTGCCTGTACGACCCATAAACAAAGCTTTTCACTGTATTTCGGTACACTTGACAATAAATCAATCAAGCAGGAATAATGGGTACGCACCCAAATTGGCAGCATGACTACTGGCATTCTCTGGGCATCGGTACTGGTTTGCAAATTTTAAACCATGTTTACCAATGACTTTGATGAAGATACAGAGAATCAGACATTTAAGTGTACCATCTAATTTAGCGCTGTCAGCAAAAAAAATGGAGTAAATGGGAGAAAATAATTGTAAAGGAGAAGCGATAAATGAGTGGGGAAAAACTCAGGTGGAGGTCAATGTAGGGAAATTGAGAGGTCACTGGCTTTGAAACCAAAGAAAGATCAAAGTATTTTCTAAATGCCAAGAATCTAAAAACTGTACATGATCAAAGAGACTGGGGAGTCTAAGAAAAATAATTTCCTCTGATGGCAGAGGCCAGAATAGGTTGCTCAGGAGTAAAGTGGAAAACCCTTTCACGTGAGGGTTAATGGAAATCTAGAACTCATTCCTAATCAAAAAACAAGGATCCATTTTTTTTGGGGGTTGGTTACTTCAGTTGGCTATACAGCCAATATGTGAATCAGATTAATGCTAACAGTATAGGGGTTGATTCCTAGGGATTTTGTGGCACAGCAGTAGTGTCCCTATCTCTGGATGAGGAAGTCTGCTTTCAAGTTTGTCCTGCTCCAGAAGGGTGTAATAACATCTCTGAACAGGTTGATTAAAAGATCTAGGATTTGATTCCTGTTCTGGCTGAAGTCTACTTAGGGCCTGCCTCCTTGAACTATGAAATTATGGCACATTGCTGCAGTCCACCAAATAAGGACTTGCCATAAAGCGGAGAACAAGATTTCTTCTGGTTTGGCATGGTTATCAAAAGGTAATTGATCAAGGCAGGTGGATATACAAGTCAACCATGATCAGATTAACTGAATAACCGAGCAGACTCAAGGAACTGAATGGCCTACACATGGTGCTGTGAAAAGGAGTTCCCAGTTGATTGAAAGAGTGTCTACAATGAAAACGTTTTAACGTAGATAAATTAAGTCAGATACAATTTTGAAGTTCCATGGTTAAATTGAACCAATATTTTGGCACCTGAGTTTTTAATCCAGAAGAATTTCGTAGAAATCAGTGTTTAAAACAGCGAAGATAACTTACCCCACCTGCACAGATGAAGTTAAACTGATGAAGAATTGATTAAACTTCACAGTCAATAAAATCACAATGGTGCAGAATTACTGATGTCAGAGTTGCAGTTATACTCTAACTCTTTAAAAATACCAGTCTTACATACAGACAACCAACAGATATCAAGTTTCACAAGCCAGCTTAAACATGTTGAGGTTCCCTAAAGGGTTTGCCCTCATTCAAATAATGTGCTGGATTGTCTTGTGCATGATAACCATCATCTCTTTATTGTTAGCCTCATAAAGCTGTACAGTCACAAGTAGTCTGTACTGTTCCACAGTTTCAGTTTCACTACATTGTTGGACATTACTCACAACTGATACAGAATTCCCACTGGGAAAAAAAATTGAAAAATGAGTGGCTTGAATCTTGCTTTTGCTTGGTAAAACTAAAAAGAATACAAAAGGACATGACGATTTTCGTCTTGGGTTTCCCTTCCAACTATTTTTTCCATCTTATTTTGATTTAATATAGATCCCCATCATGTGAAATAAACTTCTGTTTATTCTGGAACTTCCTGCCCAAATGAAACTCGTATTGAGAAAGAAAGTGTAACATTAATCTCTCCAATCCCTCACTGTGCATCTTTCCCGCAATATTTGAGATCTCAATTTATTCCCCCAAAGGGCCAAAACATTTAATACTATTTAGCAAACAATCCAAGAACACAGCAAATTCATCCAAAGACAAAACGGAGCACGTAAGAAGCATATCATCATTATAGACGTTAATACTATCTGAGCTAACAGACTAGAGGGGAAAAAAAAACTACACATTGTATACCTCAGGAACTGGCACAGTGATCCAGAAGGTTCAACTTTAAACTGAAATATCCAGGTTCAAACCTGATACATGTTGACTGAATATGCAGCTCTTCCAATATTAAATATGGTAAACAGCATGCCAATCCATAGAACAAACTTATCAGAATTTGGTTTTAATGTCAATTTTAACATGAACTGCAGTAGGGATATGTGGTGTAGTAATTCAAATACCAGATAAATACTTTTGTGGGAGTTGGGAAGTCACGTTGCAGCTGTACAGGACATTGGCGGGTTCACTTTTGGAATACTACATTCAGGTCTGGTCTCCCAGCTATAGGAAAGAGATTATTAAACTTGAACGGGTTCAGAGAAGATTTAAATGGATGATACCAGGATTGGAGGCTAATAGGGAGAGGTTGATTCAACGGAGGTATTTTTCCCTAGTGCGTCAGAGATTGAGGGGTGACCTTATAGAGGTTTATAAAATCACAAGGGGTATGGATGGGGTGAATAGCCAACGTCTTTTCCCCGGGGTGAGGGAGTCCAAAACTTGAGGGTATAGGTTTAAGGTGAGAGGGGTAAGATTTAAAAAGGGACCTGAGGGGCAACGTTTTCACGCAGAGGGTAGTGCGTGGGGGAACAAGCTGCCTGGGGAGGTGGAGGAGGTTGGTACAATTACAAATTTTAAAAGCCATCGGGATGGGTACATGAATAGGAAGAGTTTAAGGGATATGGGCCAAATGCTGGCAAATAGGACGAAATCAGTTCAGGATATCTGGTCAGTGCGGATGAGTTGGACTTAAGGGTCTGTTTCCATGCTGTATAACTCTGACTCTCAGAGGAGTTTTATTCCCCTTTAAAGCAGGAATTGCTGGAAGAGGTTTTATTTTCTCAAACACATTTGCATGAGAGACAAATCTGAAGGTAAAAATTAAACCACATTAATTTAGTTCTGGCATGTTGTTCACCCCCAACCCCTTAATTTTCTTTGTATCCAGCATTAGATGGCATCAGCTCATATGCTGGTACTTACCCAAATTGCCATCATTCATTTGGCTGTGCTGATAATTAATATCCTCTATTCAATGAGAATTATCACAGCTAAACGAATCCTCAGAAATCACAGATCACAGGACAGCTATGGCCACCTTGAAACATATCCTTCAAACATATCCATTGCATGGGCAAATCCATTAAAGGTTCTCCCGCCTCCCTTCACATTAACTTTTCCTCAAGCAAGTGATAAATATTCCCACGGGACATTAAATTCGTTCCATCTCACCACAAAACCTCCAAAGTTACAGGACATTATGAACCTTAACTTCTAAATAAAAGAAACTTCACATCAGGTTTAGGGCAAGACAATGAAAATAGAATTAAATGGCCATTTTTGAATTTATAGTTTGCTAGCCTATAAT